TCTCACAGGCTGCCTCAGCGCCCACGGGAGCCACTCCGAGTACATAACACTCGAATGCTCGGTGCTGTTTGGAGCTGCCTGCAACTCCCCGCACCTCCTCCGGAGCTTCCCATTCCCCCCACCCACTCCCCCGTTTCGGACCCTCGGCCCCGGGACCAGGCGCGCTCCAATCCGGGGACCGCGCTCAGCTCGCGCGCGCGCGTTCTCTCTCGCAGCGAGTATCCTGGGGAGAGCGCGCGCTGACTGCAGCTTCAGAGACTCAGTTCAAATGCTGGTCCTGCCGGGGCCACGGGGGTGACACTGGTCACGGTCTGGGACCTGGCGTCCTAGTTTCATCCGGCAGCAATAATAGCTTCTTTGTATGGCCTCAGTGAACATGAAGCAGACACCAGGTGTGTAAAGTGCCTGACGCGCACTAAGCATTCGGGAAATGGCAGTTACGACCTATTGCTCGGTCACCAGTGCGCGAGTCAGCAGGGCCCAAGGCAGTTACCCGGGTAATTCTGCAAGCAAATGAGCGTTTGGGAGTGCGCGCCGGGTTGGCACAACAACTCCCTTGGAAAAGCCCTGAAGCAAGGAAATAGAGGGATAGAGGGTCTGCAACTTTACAAGGTCGGCCCCCCCCCCCCCCCCCCCGGGACTGCTCTGACAATTCTGAGTAGATTCTCTTTACAGGACGTCAGGCTGCTCCGCCGGGGCCAGGCTTGAAGTAGCTTGCCGGCAAGACTGCAGAATCCTGCAGTGTGCGCCTGTCAGACTTGGAGGTTCCAGAGCCGCAGAGATGGAGTCCTCTGAGCCTGGCTACCAGGGAAGACAGAATTGAGGTTACTTTTGTCACCCTCGGCGCATCCAGGAGCGTCGGGGCCCCCAGACTCCAGCCCTACACTGGGCCGGGTCTCTGGCTTCCGAGCCCTCAAGTCCCAGCATTTCTCATTCTCTTTCTCCGGAACAGCTCAGGCTACTGGCTCCAGAAAGCGGGCCCCACCAGGCTTGCACCCAGCACCTCAGGGATTAATACTGCCTAGGAGCATAGATAGTTTCTCTCAGCAGCCCCAGAAGCTCAGGCTGGCACAAGCTACTTAGCGGGTGGTAGTTTTCGATTTAGCTCTGAAGCGGGAACAAGGACTGCCTCTCTTCTAAAGAAGACCTTTCTCTATGGCCCCATGCTTGTTCTAGTCTCTTGGGTCTGTGGGAGCCTTCCAGGGCAGCCAGGGGTGCAGCTGGGCTCACCAGGTGTACCTTCTTTGGCTCAGCCTGGCGATGTTACTGAGACGTTTCCCAAAGTCCCGCAACTGACAACTCAGAGCCAGCATCTACTTGGTGGGGAAGCAGTCTCACTACTGAGTTGGTGCGGAAGGAGTGAAAAACTCAACCTGGTGGAGGATACCTAATCTGACCCTTTCCATTCTGATCCCACCCTGAAACCCAGAAGAGACCATTATGAGTTCCAGCCTCTTCAGAACCTGCAGAGAATAGGAGAAAGAGACTCACTTATGGCAGGACCCTGACGGTGGGTCCTGAGGTCTTTTAGGTTAGGGCTATGTTCCACCTCCCCGGCTGGGCAAGGACGACCCAGATATCCTTTCTACATCTGGGCTCACCCAGCTCACCAGCAGCAATCCCAAGAATCCAGATGAACTTGAGTCAAGGTGTTTCAAGGGAGGGGAGAGGCTGGTCCCTCTGCCACCAAACACCTCAGCTTACCAGGGGAACCCTCAAGCTTAGCTTGACATTACAGCTACCCCGTGTCCCTGGAGCACACTGGCTCAGAAACACACCTCTTACACAGAAACAGCCAAGCTGCCAGTCCACCTCCTCACCTGCAAATTTTTCACCACACTGTGCTCACACATTCTCATGCCTTCTCACATCCTACACACTGGACCCCTCTGGTGTTATTAAGTATCTGCGCCCAGAGTGCCTGAAGTCATAGTGGTGGGATGGAGAAAACAACAAGAAGGGCCAGTGTGTACCCCAATTCCTCCTAGGTCTTCTCCATCTGCCCCTCAACACAAAATGATCACACCTTTCCTTTCTGGATCTGTGGTAGCATCCAGGTAAGAGGTGGGCACTGCTGGAACATGGATGCTGCTTTGCCCTTTCCTGTCTCCAGAGTCTCCACTCCAAGGTCCGCCACCCCCCCCCCCCAGCACTCCCTCTGGCCACAACAGCATACTCCACAAGGACTGGGGAAAATAGGGACTGAGTTACCCAGTGGTCTCTCCCCAGATCTCCCTGGCTCTGTTCAACCTTCTCTGGTGTGGTGCACCGCCCGCTCCCAGGTGGACTTGCCATTTCCTCCAGGAAGGCTTAGATTTTGGGACTCTAGGGTCCAGGCCTGACCTAAGTACCGGAAAAGGCTCCCGAAACTGATGAGGAAGTGTGGCGTCCCCATTGCCTACCCTGCTCTCAGCAGCCTTCAGTGTTTATGCCCCAAGCAGATGAGTCAGTCAGCTGCCCTGGAAGTCAGAGTTCTTCTAACTTCTTTGTTAGGTTAGCGGAAGTGGGCTGCTGCCTTGCTGTGGCACCTGCCTGGGAACAAAAGAAAGGCATCCACCTTCCGGAAGCAGAAAGGGAAACTCACACTTCCGGTAGTTGCATCCTTTGGGTCCCATCTGGGCTTGGATGACCACAGAGATGTGGGAGTGGGAGGCAGGTGATAAGTCACTGGGGCCCTGATGGACTCTGATGGGGAGTGACTGTATTCACCTGGCAACACCTGTGCAAAAGTTAAGAGCGCTGGAATGTTCTGGTGGGGGCCACACGCTCTCCCTCAGTCTAGTGGAGTGAGGAAAGGACTACTGCTTGTCTAGATTTATGGAGTGGGCGAATAGATGCTTGGATTTTCAGAGCTTCTGTATCGTTTCCCCATTTGAAAAATGTTTTCGGGCTTAGCTTTCCTAAAGGGAGGGAAAGACGAAGATGCATCAAGTAGTTTCCCAGAGCGGGTCGGCTTTACGGAGCAGAGCGCCAGGACAGGTGCTCGCCCCCTACTGGCGAGCGCGAGCTCCCGGGCAAACTTAGGCGGATCCCACCTGCGCGCCTTCGGAGAGAAGGTGCCCGAGGGGAGCCCTCACTCGCTGCCGCCTCAGGATCCTAGGACCGTCTCTTTTGGGGGACTTAGCCACTGGGCGTCCAGGCCTTCTGGGCAAGCTGTGCTGAAAAGCAGGACGCCAGATCCAGCGGGTCGATGGGCTAAGAACCGTTGCTGGCAGGGGTACCGGGAGAGTGCGCATTTTCATGCTTCTAGGGAGAAGCATGAGGTGTAGTTGTGTGTGAGCGCACATATGCGGAGGGGCTCATCTGTGTAGGTCGCTGGGGGGTATATGGCCCACAGCAGCGCGTTTGTTCGCCCCAGGACACTGTTCGTGAAAATGGGTTGAGGGTCTGTCTGTGTGTGTCACGTGTATGACAGTCTGTTATTGTTGTGTGCTCCTTCCCTCTGGGGCAGTGAGGGCGTTGGTGCCATGCACCGTGCTCAGTACTTGTGAATTAGATGATAGCTGTGAACGTGCGTGTGCATGTGAAAGTCGGTATAGAGAGCCTGAGTGAGTCTAGAAAGTAGGGGTGATGTGGCGCCAGGGGTTGCTGTGCTCCTTTGTTTTCCCAGCGGTAAGCCCCGGCCTGTCCCACCGGGCTGGGTGACTACAGGCAGCGACAGGCAGTTTTGCAGACTCAGGACCCTCAGGCAGTCGGTGCCTGAATCCTGCCAGTCGTCAGAGGTCCGCCACGGGCAGAAGCAGCCGGCTGCCAGGGACGGGCTTTCTCACCGGTGCTTGTGCTTGTGCTGTCCGGGAGGAGGATGATAGTTGTTCCCGGGGCTTGTCGCCTGGGGGGTGGGTTCCCTCAGTCTCCAGGTTAGCACAAACGAAGGTAGGTGTAGCCTTCCAGCCAAGCTAGCCCGCCCAGTCGCCCTCGGGATCCTTGACACTTGAAAAGTCCTTGTGCAAGGGTCTTTGTGGTCGCTGATTTCACCAGAGAGGAACGTCCTTGGGGATCTCCACACTCGGGGATCTCAGAGCAGAGGAGTATACCTCTGCCCCTCTAGCCCTTCCGGTTAGGGCCAGCACATTTGGTCTCTAGCATTCTGGTCATGGAGGAGGGACCTATTTGGTATCACAGCCTGGGATCTGAGACAGAAAAGCTCCTCCTGGAGGTGCTTTGCCTACTTAGAACCTGCCTTGACCAGCCCAAAGGAGTTGCCAATGTGGGATCCTCCAGAGGGTAGGGGTGCTTCAGGTTAACGTACAGTCCCAAAGGCCCCTAAGGGCACCACAACCTGCAGAAGTGCCCAGTATCTGCTTGCTCCCATTCAGATCTAGTGTTCTGCTGACCAGCTTCCCAAGTGAGTCTCTGACTCTTCTGCACCCCACCCCTTCACCTCCACTCCAAACCCACAGATTTCGGAGCTTGGAAACTTTTGCTTCAGCACCATAGCCATGAGCTGGGCATGGAAGGTGGATCAGAAATTGCCTGTGGGACCAGGCAGCCTGCTGGTGCTTAGTATCTAGTTCTGCAGCGTGGGACCACACCAGAGTCAGTCTTTCAGGGAAACTGCACCTCCCAGTTGGTCCTTCAGTCCCACCATCTCCAAACACAAGTCACATGCACCCATGCTCCACACAAACAGCCTCCCACACCCCACCCCCACCTCAGAGGTGGAGAAAGAGGGCACTGTTCAATGGCTGTTGCTGGAGAGGAGTCTCCAAAAACGAGCCGGCCAAAACTCCCCGCTTCTTCAGTGAGCTTCTCTAGCAAGCAAAAGGGTTTCAGAGTTTTCAGTCCTTTCCCCTGGACACCAAGATGTGTTAGAATTATAGGACTGCATCGCCTGATTTTGGGGACTCACTCAGGCGTCACAGCCTAAAACCGGTCCACCCAGGGTGTCGAGTCCCTGTAGGGAAATCAGACACACTGCACTCCCGGCCAGCGGGCTTGTGGTGTATATCCATATATATATTTATGATTTCTAATTTTATTATAAAATAAAAGCAGAAATATTTCCCGAAGAACATTCACATGAGGGCAGAAAGGGAGATGGCAAGTCCGAGGCTTGGGAGGCACGCTCTGCTGGAAACAACGTGGCCACGGTCCCAGGAGCGAGAGGTGAGCCCATGTGGGGCCTCAGAGTGAGAGAGCCAGAGACACAGAGAGACAGAGAGATGCAAATGGCAGAGGCTGCTGTGGCTCTTTCTTTCACTTTAGCTCCCAGGGCCAAGCTGACACGTGCGTGTGGCAGGCTCTGGACAAGGCCGGAGTTCAAAGACCTGTCTTTCCTTTGCTCTTCTCTCTCCCACCTCAGCCCCAGGCAAGTGAGAGGTGAAGGAGGGCAATTCGAGGGTCAGGCAGGAGGAGAGACTGAGGGGTACAGATCTAGCAGCCAGGAGCCCCAAGAGGTGTCAGGGAGGAGAAGGCAGACAAATAGAAACTTTGTCGGAGAAGCCAGACATGTGGAAGAGCAACAAAGACAAAGGGGATGTGGCAAGCAGAAAGGGGAGAAGGAATGGAAAGGAAGAGGAAGAAAGAACGAGGAAGAGAGGGAAGAGAGAAGAGAAATAGGGTGAGTGTGAAAATTGTGTATAATTTATTCCCTTCCCTGGTTCAAGACCCGGTCAGATGCCTCCAAAGGATCTCAAAAAGCAACTTGTTGAAAATAAATGCCAAACAAAGACCAAGCCAGAGAGTCCACCGCCGAGCCCCGGGCCGGGCGGCGGTTCTGCCTGCTCAGCCTGTGGTTTGTCAGTCAGTACCTGGTGGGGCCGCCCGCGCCTGGCGCCCTCCCGACATGGTCTCTGTTAGGTCCCCAGCGCCCGGCGCCCGCCGGCCAGCACGAGCGGGAGGCGGGGCTCTAGGAGCCCAGGTCCACGAGGTTGGCCGACATGGGGTTGAGGATGGAGTCCTGCAGGCCGTGGTGGTGCTGCAGCGGGTCGGCGCCCCCTCCGCCCGGCACGGGCACTGGCACGGCGCTGGGGCCCGGAGGATGGCCCAGGCTGTGCAGCGACGGCAGCCCGGGCGGCGGCGGCGGGCTGAGCAGCAGCGCGGGGCTGGACGAGGAGTGGTCTGGCGTCCCCGACGGCGTCTTCTCGTCCTCTGAGCTGCCTAGCACCGATTTGCCGCTGCCGTTTAGCGACGCCGCCAGCGGGTTGTGGCTGTTGGAGTTGGAGTTCTCGCTGTTCTCCCTGCAAGTGCAGGAGCAAAGCGCCCAGGTCAGCGGGGAAACCGAGGCTGCTGAGCCTGGAGCCAGAGCTTGCACCAGCCTGGGTCAGAGCAGCTGCGTGGGCACTGGCTGACCCGCTCTTCAGTTTCTACCATTTTCATGACCTGGCCTGGGCCGCTTCTTGCTGCCAGTTCAGTCTCTCAAAATCTCATTTCTCCACTTTCTCCCTGTATCATGTCTTTCTATACCTTCCCACATGTCACCTCTCAATCTCCTGAATATCTTCCCCCCTCTGTGTGATCTGCCTCCCCAGCACCCCAAGGAGTTATTGGCATTTCAAGGTTGAGGGTGGGGGTGGGGGGGGAGTAGGATGCCTGAATTTTCAGATCACTCTTAGCTCCTCAAACCTGAATTTGTAGAATAGAGGTCTGCCTGGGAGAGGGAGGGATCTTAGGTCTTAGGAGAGCACCCTGTTTGAAGTCCAGACTCTCACTGGCCCTTTCCTTTTTTCTGCTTGAAGGAAGCCACTGACTTGTTCCTAGAGCTAAGGAAACCTTTACCCTCTAGCGCCCAACTAGCTCGCCTTGTGAAGGTTCTCCCTCTTGGGTCTAGGGACAAGGTCTTAAGTATATGGGGCTTCCTTTCCTGATGGTGCAGGGGATGAGAAGATGAGGGGTTAGAAGGCAGCACCTGGGGAAAAGGAGAAAAAAGGGTGAAGGGATGGTGAATCCTGGCCTAGACTTTTCTGCCATCCAGAAACTGAAGAGCTTTGCAACCCATACCTGAGCTCTGCCTGAGAACCCAGTTCTTCAGCAGTCTGGACACATACCCAGACTTAGGGTTTTGAAATCTTGGGTAGATTCTTCACTGGCTTCCTGAGGCCTTTTCTTCCTGTTTTCCTGAAAGGAAACTTCCCACTGGCCTGGCAGTTCAGACCTCATAATTTTGGATAACCGAATCTCATAGGCTGAGTCCAGGGTCAGCCTGATGCACCTTCCTTTCTACTTCCAGAGATCTTGGGACCGTGGCTCAGCACTCCCAACCGTGACCCTGATCGTGCAAACTCTGGCCAGCCAACAACCCATACCATCCACTCCAGGTGTCTTGTGGTAAGCAGGCTAGAGTCTGTTCCCACAATCAGTTTCTCTTCCATTCCCTACCCCCCACATCCAGATTGGGGGTTCTGAGAGGTCACAGGGCCAGCAGCCAGCCACAAGGGCCTAATGGTCACTGTTAAGTTAGTTCAGGAACTGAATTGTCCTGTTTCCCTGAAGACAAGCCACTCCCAGCCCTTCCGCTCTCAGCTCACGCTAGACGGACTAACCTAGCCTCCAGAGTAGGGTCTGAAGAGCGACCTGTCCGGCCAGGGAATGGCTTATGTGTCCAGGGAGACAAAAAACAGCATGTGTTTCTCTGCCTCTCCCCGGGTGCCAGCACTTCCTCCCCAAGCTTTTCACCTCTTGGTCCTTTCCGTAGGGTGAAAAAAGGCTCTAACTATCATGTCCAGGCAAGGGAATTTCTTAACTAGACCTCTCCACAGTCAGGTCGGGTTAGGGAAGTTCCAATTCCAGTCCTGACCCCCTACTCTTACTTTGGCCTGGAGCTGAATGAGGCCTAGGGGAAGTTCCGGCAAGTGCTGGTAAATTCGCACAGCGGGTCGCCAAAATCCGCAACCGTGATGCATCCTCGGCAGAAACCTCTTCATCCTTCAGAGGTCAATCAGGTTCTGCCTGCTATGCCCGTGCTACTAGGAGTGAGGCCCACGATCTCACCTCATTCCCCAGTTCGCTGCCTGTCCACAAACCACCAGGGAGTTAGCTGACAACTTTACCGATTGCTTGCCCGCTTTAGACAAACCCCCAGCCTTCCCCGGCTCCCTAAAGAGCTGAGCGCCCTCTGGGTCAGACTGGGCTGCAGTTGGGCAGAGTCTGGAACCGAGTGCCCGCTTAAGGCCTTTTTCACGGGGCGGCTGGGGAAGGCCTGCGAGCCCCATCCCTCGGGCCCAGGGGAGTTGGCGCAGAACTTTACTTACTCGTACCTTTCCTTGGCCTCGGCTGCCCGGTCGCGCTGCCGCCGGTTCTTGAACCAGTTGCTGACCTGCGTGGTGGTGAGGCCCGTGGCCTCCGCCAGCTCGCGCTTCTCGCGGGGTGAGGGGTAGGGGTTATGCGCGTACCACTCGCGCAGCACGCTGCGGCTCTTTTCCTTGAAGCAATAGCTGGTCTCCTCGCCGTCCCAAATGGATCGCGGCAGTGGGAATTTGCGGCGCACGCGGTACTTGCCCACAGCGCCCAGGGGCCGGCCGCGCAGCTTCTCCGCCTCGATGTAGTGCGCCTTGAGCCACAGCTGCTGCAGCTTGGCGTGGTTGTGCGGCGAGAACTGGTGGCTCTCCAGGATCTTGTAGAGCTCGCGGAAGTTGCCGCGGTGGAAGGCCACCACCGCCTTGGCCTTGAGCACGCTTTCATTCTTGTGGAGGTGCTCGCAGGCCGGCAGCGACCACAAGAAACGGCCCAGTCGCTCGATGTTGCCGCCCTGCTGCAGCACCTCGCACACGCACGCCACTTGCTCCTGTGTGAAGCCGAAGGTGGGCAGCATGGACATGGTGCCGGCTGAGCCCCCGCCCGCCCACGCGCGCCCTCACCGAGCTTCGCGGTCCGGCATGGGAGCCTCCCAGCCGGGCCGTCCGGGGCCGAGAGGCGGGCGGG